CTTAGAAGAAAATAGTTCCTATCCTCATTGGCACGGTAAAGTCCTCTCCAATTGATGGAGATGGTTATGTCTGGATTGAAGGTAATTCAGTTAGCGTATTCAGCAAGAGCAGCGCTCGTCTTAAGCCTGCAATCACTAAAAAGGTCAATTGGCAAGCCACCCTTCATAGATTTATCAATACGATAAAGGATAAGGGCTTGGAACTGTCATTTATCGGTACAAATGATGAAGAACGTATTGTTCAGGATTCCAAACCAGGAGAGGCCAGCTCAGAGCCTCGCCATGGAGTTCTAAGTGGAATCGATGAGGATATGGATAAAATTAACTAATGCTGATAATGACGGAAAGCAAATTCTCACAGAATATTACAAAATTCTTCAAGAGAAGAGAGTTAAAATCCCTTTCCGTCTGAAGCCGATTGTTATGACTAGACATGGCATAATACCTCATCGCGAATATTACTTTAGCGAGCCTATGATCCAACGTCCTCTACATATTAGAAATGATCAGCATAAACCTGTATCGGGTAACGCCTGGAAAGAGTTGATGAAGAATATCAGATGGATAGATACTTTTACTTCATTACTGAATGGGTTTGAAGAAGTGGAGCGTTACTTAGACGACGCAGGAGAACATGGGGAGGAAGAGAAGAAGCTGAACAAAGCTCGTCGCAAGAATTTGGAGGACAATCTTGCAATTATTAATGAAGCTATTCTCAAGAATGCTCATGATATCAGTCGATCAAGCTTTGAATACAATGAGCAGATGGAAAAGCTCCATGATGAATCTAAAGCTGCATTCTTGAAGTACGCAGAGGCTCAATCACGATACGAAGAAGCCAAGAAACTGGTGGAATCGACGAATAGTAAATCCGCACGATCAGCTCTGAAGGCAGCGCAGTCCGCGGTGAAAGCGACCAAGGCAGTCTATCAGCTGAAGTTTAAAAATTATGCTGGTGCTCAAAAATATGCTGACCCCGATAAATTCAAGGGTCGACAGAGCAAACTCACTGGTAGAGGCCTCAGAGGCGCTGGTATTAAACCCCTCGAAGGTGTAGTACGTCGGTCGCGAACTTACAACCTGAAAGAAATCCAAGGCCTAGCAACCCCTTCCGCTTACGTTTACCGTCAGTTAGGGAGTAAGTACATTCGAATCCCCGATCTCGACTCTAAAACACTTGTCATTGTACAACCAAATCGCCGAAAACGCGGGCCGAAAATGCAAATCAGTGCCAGTCTTCAGGACCTGATTCGTACCCTCGCGTTCAAGCAACAAATCGATCAAGCAGCGTATGATAAGCTGAGTATCGACGATAAAAATTGCTATCACTCATCTCCAGTATAACTTTCACGATCGTCTTGAGGATCCACTAGAATCTCTGAAAGCTGAGTATGACAAGCTAAAAGGTGAGCTCGAATTGGGAAATGACAATCCTTCTATCATTAAGCTGTAACGACGCACCAACGTCACAGCCAGCGATGGCCATGACGTTGGTACCAATGCGTCCTACTTTCTTCTATTTCTTTCCTACTTGTCTTTGCTGACTGCCAACTATCTTCTTAAGTTGCCAATGAGCGGCCAGGTAGACACACGCCTGACCGGAAGGCAATCACCATGTTTGGACGGAAGATGCAAGAAGGATGGATCCAACAAAATATCCACGTCACACCAACCTTCCTGGATTGCCAACACGAGGATCACGAGGACTCTCTTCCAAGCTCGACCAGCATGGCTACGTCGGTTACCACGCTGCTTGTTGAAGTTAGACAACAGTGTCCGATGGAGGAATTCTACAACCAGATCCGCCAATGGTTGATCCA